ATAAACAAGTCCCATTACTACAAATTATGAGTTTGGTTCAATTACAGTATTTCATGTGACCATCTGAGAGTATGACAAAAAACTGAGATCTTAGGAAAAACTCCTCCAGATACTTCGATGATAGCCTTATTATTTGTACTGATATGAATATTACTCCCAGAATGCTTTTGTATTTAATGCATGCCAAGTCAAACGTCAAGTTTAAAATAGTTACCTGCTGAACCATTTAAAATTAGACACACAGTGAAGAAATAGTGGAATTATTGCAGATTACTTTCTTGGCTGTGAATACGACTAGCCTTATCAAAAGTCCGAATCCATCCATGCTTCTGTTAATTAGGGAAACAAATTCACGTATATTTTGCAAATTTTTATATGTAACAAATATATTTTATTACATTTCTCCTTGTATCAAGTAAATAAAAGTTATCCACTTATATCCAGTAAAAACACTCATGGTAGGTTGAAAAGTAAAATATAACAAAAATGTTTGGCATTCAGTATCTCCCAAAAAATCTATTAACATCTGTCTTAGTTGTTTGATAGTATAATTTCGAATCTGCAGGATACATCATTTCTTGGATAAAAAATACCTGTAAAGATGTAACTACTTTAATTCACTTGGTATTGTTTTACTTGGATTTTCCCATTGATGTGTTACGACTGAAATTGATCAGCCATTATCCATCTTTGCTTATAATGCTTGTAACTTAAGACATTATCGAGGCATACGCACAGTATGCACATATGCCAATAAGAGACTGATCAATTTCAGTCGTAACACATCAATGGGAAGATTCAAGTAAAACAATATCAAGTGAATTAAACTTCACCCCATTGCACAAGCAAGTGGCTATCAGGACTCAGTAGCTAAGTGAATAACGCGATGGTATTTGAAGCGAACGGTATTGAGTTCGAGTCCCAGAGTGAACATCAACTCTCAGATGCAGGTACATCCAGCTGACGAGTCCCAAATAGGACGAAACGCGCGTCCTGGATTCCACTGCTTGCCACTATTCATCTTTGCTTATAATGTAACTACTTTGATAGTATTAAGTAGTAAAATAAGTATTGTAGAAAACCAAGAGGCCAAATCAATTTTTTATTCAATTCAGTAAGTATCAAAATGTCTATTTAAAAATACATTTTTACCTAATAGCAGATAATTAAACATTGTGAAATAATTTTATCTATGAAAGTGTGGAAATAAAAAGGTGGAATACATTTAAAATGTGAACAACAAGAATATACTCTCATCTGATTTTTTATTCGTAGGCAAACTGGAGCTTATGTGGCTGCATGGGAAAATAATCAAGGAATAGAGGAATAAACCTACTCAAAAAGAGTGTAAAACCTTAAATTTGCGGCAAATAGAAACGATAAGAATATCCCCAAAAATATTTTTCTGAAGGTCACTTATACATAAAAATACAAAGTTTCATTTAAACAGTAACTTCATAGAGGCGCTAATATTAGTCGTTAGAATTTTATTAATTTTAATAGCAATTGTATAGAGCGCTTCCTAGATGCCTTTTAGAAGTCACCAAAACCATATAGTCGATATGGACGCGACTCATCTTTAAATATTTTCGAGTCCGAGTATCAATACGACCTAAAGTAATACAAACTGTAAATATTACAACACTTTTCACAATAATCGTGAGGTTCGATGTGAACTTAAAGCTTAACTGTGAAACACCATAATGATGTTTATACTAACTGTAGTTGAAAATCTAAAAAGTAGCTCATAGTTTAGTATCTATTTATTTAATTTGTTTTCCATTTTGTTCAAATAAAATAGATAATAAGAGAAATGATACTAAAAATTATTAAACTAAACAAATTTGTTGAAGTGACTTTAAAATCTATAGTGAGTATGGTCATTTGTTGTACACAAAGAGCAGAACGCCATGCTTTCATTATTATTAATAATCCACTTTATTTATCTGGTTTGATTTCAAAACACTAAAAAGGCCAAAGGTGAAATAGAATGAAAATTTCCCTTTTTACTGATAAGTACTATCAAGGAAGATAGTTGAATAGTTCAAATATGAGTAAAGCTATCATTTCCAGCATACTTATGAAGTGAAAGAAACGGAGAAATCGCGTTAAGAAAGCGGAGAAACACGCCTATTTAGACATAATGGAACGAAGACTATACTAGAGAGAATAGACAGAAGGGATCTAATGTATCCAAATTGGTCAACGGACAGTCGAATTATCAAATCACATCAATCAAGAATATGGTATGGCTACTGATACAACTGGCCAACTATTCATGTAAATTGTATTTAATTTCGGATGGTAGTCGGGAAACTTTTACTAACTTTGATCTTGTGCTAGTCGTGATTGACTATCAAGGCCTTTATTCAGACTCATCCTACCAGACACTGTAACAAACCCAATACAGCTTATCGTTTTACACCAAGGATCCCCGAAATTGTCCAGCATTAAAAAAAACTCACTCCCATATCAAATACATAAAACTATTAATCACACAAAAATCTTAGGAAATTACTGAATATAATTAGGTCAGGCAAAGTCGGACATACCACATGCTGGATGAGAAGCTACAGTCGTCAGTATATTATGAGCAAGGGATAAATATTTATTTCCACATCCATTATTTGTTTGTAATTTTCCGCCTCTTTGTAATCTTCACTATCTAATTAATTACACACATCTTATTACGTAATGATTTAAATGTTTTGTGATTACTATTCATATTCTATTTACCCATGTTTGTTTGACCTATTTCCAACGATTAACTATTGATAAGAGTTTTGTTATTGTATTTTTTATTATTCTCACTATTATCAGTTCACCTATCTTTCTACTACTATCAACCTGTACTTTTACCTATTATGTGTAGAGACTAATTCTGTTTCATTGTGATGATTGACCCATATTGCCTTGATTGGTTTAAAATTTTCGTATAAATATTCATGTATATTAGAGTAAAGCCCGATGACGATCTAATTGAAAACAATTGTTCGCTTATATGTGTTGTTCTAATTTAACTAGTTGTTGGGGTGATCCGGCAAGTTTCTCGCAAGAGACAAGCAAGCATCAGGAAACACTAAGAAGCCTTTCCTCCACTCAGCGTTCAGTTGGAGTTTTTGCCAAAAATATGAAGGAAGTGAAACGTCACGTGTAGAGGTTCTGATTGGCTGGTTGCTGTACTGCTATTATGTTTAGTAGCATCACAGAATATTTGAGCAACCCAAGGACATCCAAAAATATTATAAAAACCCTATATTTTCTGTATTAAAATGAACCTTGGAGTAAACTACCTCTCGCATATTTTGAGTCTTCTCTCTTGTGTTCAGGTTGCTGTCTAGTTTTAGCTAGGGGGTTACAGAATAGCTTAGGAGACGAATGTAGCGTTCAATCTGCAAGACTTATCACTAGTCAAGGTTATCCGCCAGTTAACCCCATCAGTTTAACAAAATCTAGATATATGAATCAGTTACGATAATCATTAGGGTTATGATAATAAAACTTGATTTGGGTTTTATTACTTGCATAGCTGATTATCTAGAAGTTTAGAATTATGATTGAGACAGAACTGGATCATAAGGCATAACTATCCGTTAGTTTTGATTTTTTTTATAAATTATGAATTTTCAGTTGTACACTTTAGAGAAAGCTGTGTGATCGAAAGCAATTCGGATTCAATCATAGAGTATGACAATTGTATGTAGTGACATTTTATTGCCATAGTAAAACTTCCCAAGGTAATTTACACATATATCAATGGATTATGGTATTTTAACATGACCAAGTGGTGACTTATGAGAAGCGAAGTAAACAACAGTCTGATGTAAAATATACAATTTACTGGAAAAGTAAACAGATCAGTGATGTGATGGAAAAGTCAATTTTCGATTGATTTACTCATTATGCGTTTTGTTCAAGATCACTTCCGTTTTGATTCAATATAATGATTACTCAATGTCGTATTTGTTTTCTTTTCTCGTATAATATTTTATTCTGTATAATATGCGATATTCTTGTATTCCATTGAAATGAACTATGTTCAGTATGTGAATTGTTATAACTCTAAGTATTTTTCATATATGTGATTTCATCCTAATTATTAATCAAAATGGGTGTACAATCAGTATATAAATGAGTGTATTTCTGACTAGGATCGTCATAATGTTTTGGGGTTAATAAATCTTCACTTATACCAGTCTTTGTGTTCTTACTTTCGCGTCGTAGGAATTGCAGAGGTCCCTCGTTCCGAGTATAAGTGATAAGTGTTTCCGACATAATCAGCGACGACCAGATACAAAAAGTAGCATTAAAAGAGCCAAGACAATAATCATTCAAACGACAAGTTATAACAATCAGACCACTACGTAACATAGACTTTGAAAAACCGAATGTATGTATACGTAATAGGTCACTTCATATTCTCAGCAATCCCAGCATTTTTGAAATGTCCGTGAAGATACTGACTTCTGGACTGAAAAATATAAGTAGGTGAAGAGTACTTGGTTGGATTCTGCGTGGTTATCCTAGTGGTTAGATATTTTGGCTAATATAGCTCAGAATCGTTTGCGATGGCGCAGATGCATTCACTTTTAGTCTTGCCTTAAGCTGTATATTTACAAATCACCCTATAAACTTATTCATTCCACTAACTGATATTTTCTTGGATCATATCTTCGATGCCCAATCTTTTCTATTACCACTAACACTATTGCTACAAGTACTACTCTGGGATTTGTTTTGACAATTCCACCTTACTGTGTTAATTGGGTTTGGGAAATTCAACCAATGTGCTTACATATGTTAGGTTCTATTATAAGAACGTTAGATATTACACCTAGTCACGTTGGTGTTACCTAAGAGATAATTATTTTGCAAGCTATACATACATGGTATGGCATAAAATTTTAAGAATTCAGTATTTCGATGACAGAAAGCTGCCTATTATACAACACGCCATTATTTTAGGTACTTTATTTCTAACCAAGAAAGATGATAATGTTACGCACAACTGAATAAAATACTTTATTAATTTTCAGATCAGTATTAATAAAAGTCTTGTAGATATATATAAATTAAAAGTATGTAAATGATGACAATTTCACAATGAGTTACAAGAAAGAAAAGCAGTAAAAATACAAACGAAGTTGAAAATATGTGGCCAAACAGATGAAATAACGTGAAAAAGTAAAGACAAATGCAATTGGATATCTGTATATCATCATCTGCCCATATACTCAGGTATATGAAAAAAACAGCTGATACATATACACAGAAGTGGAAAACTATGAATAGTTAAGATAACGAATACTAAAGAAAAGGTAATAAACAAAGAACCATGTTAACCAGATCTATTATTACTTACGTACTGATATAGAAATATCAAAATTTACCAACAACAATCGTCAACTTATATAATAAAACAAACGCTGACAAATAATGTATAAAAAAACAACAATGATCAAAAAATTTGTAAATAGCTAAACGTGACTGTTTGGTAAACAAGCTTTAAATAGAGTTACTTGAAAAAACACACATTAAGAACCTAATTTTTGTAGAGTATTTTCGTTAATATCGTTAAATAAACATAGTGATGATAAAATATGTTCGATCAATTGAATACACGGCAACAAATTCACTTTGAATGTAAGGAAAACACACAATATTTTGCAGAGTTCATAGGTTAAGTCAGAATGATTGGTAAGAACTGATGGATCTTGTGAACTGCACATCTTATTGATGAAATCCATCAAACAGCTTGGTAGTTGTTGAATTAACGATTGATTCACGCTTGAAATGATTTCATTTAATCGGTTCCCATGTGATTGAAGAATTTGTCCCAATTGAGCCTATGGATAAGGATAAACACATCGGGTGCTATAAAATATTGGATATACTAAACTCAACAGACACACGAAAACCATACAAAGTAACAAAACATTTCGTAAAATGAGAAAAATTTAAACTGATTTGTTTTTACAAAGATCATTTAAAAAATGTTCAAGTTACCAATGTTTTTATTAGTTTATGGGTGACTACATTATGTTTATACACCCAATGTGCACGGAATGTAAACAGTAGACGTCACAGTGTTATGCAGACAATAAGGTTTGAAATTTATCTGAGCAGTGACTTTGGGTTCTATTCTCAATAAATAAATAAAAATGAAGATCTTGGTGGGATGAATTTCGGGATTTTTTTGTAGTCGATAGTGAGCACTGCAAACTAGACAGTAAGTTCTTAACAAGAAATTTAACTAATAAGATGATGCGTTAGGGTGACTGATTCTACAACTATTGCCATCTTACAAATACAAAATGATATGATGCTATGAACATACCCTAATGATATTAGAATTACATTTAATAATGTCTCTATGGTTCAAAAATCGTATAACAAGCAGATTTTAAGTATCACAGGAGGATAGATTAAGGAATTAGATTCAGGATATGAGAGATTCTAGAATAGTGTAACAAGTATATTCTGATGAGAATATGCTCCAAGAACATGTTTTAACTGCTTGAAGTAGGATGTAAGGTGATGGAGAACTGGAGGCTAACAGAATTGACTTTTTAACATATACAGAATTATTGTTGACAAATCAATGGCAATAGTATAGCAAAGAGCAAAAACTTTCCCAAGATTGTACAGTAACTTACCAAATACTCTTGAATTTCATTTATACAAAGTCGAAGAGCAGTGGAAACAGGGCTACACAGAAGAATCAAGATGCCATAATTTCCACAATCCGTTTCATCAGTTAGATCAACAATTTCCTCATTGTTCACACTAGATGAGGTAGAACTGGACCAGTGATGTTCAAAACGCATAAGCCAATCAAATGTGGGATATACTGATAGATCTTCTGAGCATAATGAACATAAATCACAAGGACTGCATTCGGAGATCTGGATTGTAATGGAATAAAATGCAAGATATAATTAAAAAATGAATTGAAATGTTGAGAAGTTTGATAGACCATAGTGTTGAGATTTGAAAGCAAACAAAAGTGAGTGTATTATGTTTAGGACACAAAAAATTTATTAATCAGTTATACTATTTAGCTCAGTCGACTGCATAGAATAATTCAATTCATCTTTTTCACAAACTCATCACTTAACGTTAATATAATTCACTGAAAGCAAACCAACGCTCACAAAATAACTGGAGCGAAAACCCATTTCTCTCACAATACCTTTCTTCTATATGAAAAGAAGTCAGTTTCCAATTCATTTAAACTCACAAAACAGGTAACCATATTTAAATAACTGGAATTTTTGATAGAATCAGTGTAAGAAATTACAAGAAAGAAACAATTGACAAGAGAAACGATCACAAAGCCCAATACAACTTACAATTTGGTCTGTAATGACTCTTGTTATTTTGAAGCGCTTGGAACATAAATCACATGAAGTACCTTTTGTGAACATATTTTTAAGTGCTGACGATATGTAATCAAAATGATCCTTCATTTGTTGTTTATATACAGACTACATAACGAAAAAGAAAACAATGGTAAGAAGAGACTTCAATGTACGAAAAAACTGAAATCAGTAATAAAAACAGGTAAAACTACTAATGTGTTAATTACAATATTATTGAGCTCACGAATCGAGCTAAGATAGACAACCATTGAAAACCAAGAAGTATTGGACGGCTATTTCATCACAATATAGGACTCCTCAACAATGCGAATCCGCGACCTCGCCGACCCAGGACCAGTGAACCTGGATCTTATAGTGTTAAAATCTAATTCAAATCAGTTCGCATCAGAAAGAAAATTGGGTGTTTTAATTTTTCAGTTACACTGAATAAGTTATGTACTGTATGTAACATTCTTAAATCATTATTATTATGTTTATATTTACTACATAATAAACGTGTACGGCGTATTTTAGGCTCTTTTTAGTAGGAAGATAAATGAATAAATACAAAATGGAGGATAATAAGTCGTAATCTTGATTATCAACTTTCTATTAATTCTACTGCTAGGTCGAGGAACAGAATACATGATATAAATGACGAAGAGACAATGTAGAATAAATAGCTGCAGAGTTCATAGGATTAGTCATCTTATAAGCTTAATGTATGTAAGTTAGAGAATTTGACCAAGGTGACTGCGATCACAAAACGAGCCGAAAAAATCAAAAAGTATGAGTACTAGCGACATTAACTAATTTAGTCTACCAAGCAACGACAATAAACTCAAAAGAGGTTGAATGCACACTGTCTATCTAGTGGAGTGTAAAGTTTTTATAAACTTATCCTTCTAATTAATATCTTCAAATCTGTTTGCTTCAACAAATTCTGAAGGCATCGAAGTAGTTGAAAATGAAAAATAATGAATCAAAAATAGTTTACTTCAACAGAGAACGAGAGCCATTACAGAACTAAGAGCAACGGATAAAACGAGATGTGATAAGAAAATACTTTGAACTACTTTCTTTCGGAAATAACAATTCAAGAACTGATAGTTGAAGGTTACACGTAATTCTGAATTTATTATTTAAATTTACTTAGAGGGCACAACATTTGAAACACTTATTCAGTAACTGAAAGTTGAGTATTTAAATCAAGGAACCACAACTAAACAAAGTGGAAATCGATTTATGTAAACTGAAGTGTAAAGTAACAAAGGGAAACTAAAATGAACTAAGACTGTGCAGTGACATATCAAACAATGATAATGGATATTCAAAACACCACACACACAATAGATGTTTGTGATTTAGAAAAATAATAAAGATTGATAGAGTGTAAGTTTATATGTCAGACTATCGACTTTACCGATTGGGAAAGAGTAAAATAAATTATCTGATTTCCTAGATCACACAGCGGACTCTAATACTCAGTTATACATTTAAAAAACACTACAAAAAGTACTTCCAACAAATATAAGTTGTAAACTAAAATATGAAAAACCAACTGTTGGAAAGCTTAACTTTAGTCCTAGTTTTTAAAATATTTAGTGAAGCTTAAAGATAAACTTACAAGTGAAAGATCATAACTCGATGACGAAGCATCTTTGAATGACTGCAAAGCAAAGCATTTCTGATGTTTCATTGAAAACCCAGGCAACAAAATCTACAATTGGTTAATAAATTATTTAGTTACGTTCTACATTGTAGACAATAAAAAATGTTTCAGAAGTTTTGGGAACATATAGACACATTTGTAACTTATCTAGTAAATAGGTGAACTGATGTTAAAAAAAGTAAAGGTTAATCTCCTTCAACATACCAACAACTATTAGCAATATACTTGTATCTTCCTTGTTGTCATATCCTTTGACCTTTTTGCTACAAATATGTACACAGACGATCTTTTAAATTTAATTCATTATCAATCCTTCGGTAAAAGAATCGCTAATTGGAAAGTATATAGACAGTAGATGTGGGATGCTTACATCAACAATGAAGACTGACCACATTTCTGACTCTTCATCAACTTTGTGTTCTTTACGAATAACCTTAAAATAAATATGATTTAGATTTATAATTCATAACGGTCCACGAATTAATAAATAGAATTTTACTTCTTCCCTCTTTTCACTTCTCAAATCCGCCTTACAATAATGTTAATAATTTGTAGTCATCACCTTATTAGCGGCCATAAAATCTAAAAATCAGGCTAACAGTAGTTTATATTCAGACTGGAATGTGATCACCGCCAGAAATAATTTGTTTTCCAGCGTCATGCATCTTTAGGTGAAAGTGTGCATTTGGACATATTGGTACATATTTCAATAACATTTAAAGGAATGATTTTTTTGTATATTTATGTTCATACACTCACAATTTATAATTATACGTGAAGAAAAAAATATCGTCCTTTTGATGTCAGCTGTTCTTTACGGGCTTCAACTAAAACGCTCGATCCACTTAACGACTTTACATCAATTTTCTATAGAATGCACCCAAATTTTGTTGCAAAGCTTAATGATACAGTCCAGATATTTACTGGATGGACCATTTTTACATGTATATTACCTGTTATAGATTAAACTCAATTTAAATGCGAAACCGGTCATAATTTATATTGCTTCAAACTAATCTTAGCGTATCAGTGAAGAGGAAGTATGAAATTTAGTTTAGAGGAGAATTGGCGTTTAACTATCTTAAATTAAATGATATCTTCTTTATGATATACAAACGTTTAAAAATAGGGATTTGGCAGGATAAAAAATATCATACCTAGATGACCAGGTGATGAACAAAGACTGGATTTATTATAATTAGAAGCAGCCTAACTCCTTACTACAATATGAATGATCGACTTGACAGGTATGAAGTGAAATGAAATTTCCATGCCTGAAAATGCCAGTTCTTATAGAATAAAAGTAGATTTACTTTTTTATTTTTGTTCTTTGAATTGTTGAGAATAATTATTTGAATATACGAAAAATCTTCTTTAAAGAAATCAAGTTTCCTGACCGATCCAAAGGTAAGCTAAAACACGATCTTTTACAATACTATTGGTTTACAATCGATATTTTCACAAGTGTGTAAATCTACTGAGAATAATCAGCGTCAGATGATACATGTTGTGATGAATTATACGATGATGAAACATATTAGGCCAACGTAAAAACCGTAATAATAACTAAGTTTTGTGTTTCAGAACCTTTGAATCCATGTTATTAAAAAGTGACAAGTTAAACTGCGTTTAAAGGAATATTTAAAATCACACATAACACACCTCTAATAATGAATCTGTCTGTATATTATATCCAGGCAAACCATGATGAGGAAGGAATTTGTTATACAGATCCGATATAGCACGTTTGGTGTTGTTAACATGATCATTTAATTTTTTCAACTGGCGATCTAATTTGTCCGATATAACAATAATTTTATGATTAGTTGTAACGAAACTTAATAAACGATCTGAATCCGAAGTTGGTGAGAACAAATGACCGAGTTCACACAAGATTTCTGCCTATAATAAAAAAGAAATCAGTTAACAATTGCAACTGTGAAATAACAAGCATAAAATATAAGTTAATTAAAAAAAATATTTGTGGTAATTATTCTTCTGATAATAACTGGGGAAGTTATATTTTGTTTTTGCACAGACAATCCTACTGCTGGGACAATGGATATTAAATTCAAAATAGTATGACGTACAGAACCCAACGGACTTGACCACTAGTTAGTAATAGATCACATGGACTCAGGTACTCGAAATTCGACTAACGAATATGAGGTGGAACAACAGTTTGTTGCCACGAATTAAAAGCCGTTAACACTGCAAAGTCCGAGTAGAAATCAACGGTTAATAAAATCTACAGTATAATAGTCTTGTATATTCACTAAAGCTGAATGTGTTTATCTTCGTTTGTTAGCCAATCTCATATTACTTTAATTGTGGTACGACCGAAAATGAGAAGCGTTCGCTCTCCCTCTCGAGATACGCCCATATACCCACGCATATACAGCCATTGTCAGGGAAGTCCTACTCACTGTCTTCTCGCGGCAGGGGTATTGTCTACGAAGTCGCGAGAACGAGAAGTGAATTTTCGACTCTCCAAGCGGGTTGGTGGTTACGAGGGACCTACCTAGGGGGAGGGGGTTTGAAAACCATTATTCCAGACCCATGGAACACATGGGCTTCAGGATCGTGAGGGGAAAATGGCGTATGAACTTATTGTTTGTCACCGGCTATCATGAGACTGCATCAACTAACGTTGTTCCACTGTCTTGTGGACTAGACTTCTGGATCAAAGGTTCAGAGTGGCCACCTAAGAAAACTACCTGTCTCGCTTTTGGCACCCGGACAGTATCTTATCCCAAACACAAATTGAGTGATAACTACTTTGTATGGGGCATACATATTTTTATACCTCTTTGTATCAATGTTTGCATTGAAATAAATAAATAAATAATTCAAACGGAAAAGCTACAGTTCAATAAATTAATGGACATTAAACACTATCGAGGCTGAATCATTGTGTAGTGATGGCTAAAGTAAGGACAACTAAGTCTGTGAAATGATCTAGAGGCCAGGGAAGAGATAATCGTCCACTTAGTCAGTTATTATTACCCTCTAACAATCTTTCATCATTATTATTCAATTGTTATTATGGCCTTTATGTCTTCTCCTTTCCAATTATCAGTTAAGTGAACAATTATCCCTTATATTTTTGACCCGTAAGTTACTTTCATACTCCTATTCTTCTCTAACATAAAGATAATTAAGGAACCTTCCTTTGGACGATTGGAATCTCAGATGACTATATGATATAATCTCTCCCTTTTTCTACAAACACATAAAACCCACTGTAAATACAAATGTACAACTAAGCATGTTTCAGAAAGTAAAGACAAGTGACAAATGAATTAGGTATGGGTAAAGTTACGCTTAGAAAAGCAATAATATTGATCGCTAAGTAGTCAAATAAAGAGGTCAAACTGAATCAGAGTGATGAATATAACGAAAATCTGTTAAGTTTGATTGAAATCTTATTTATTTATATAATTAACAGTTCGGCGTCACTTGATCAATCCCTGAATAAAATGAAATAAAAATTAACAGCGACAGTAAAATCTTAATTACTTTATTTCTTACTAAGCTTTATCCAATTTTTTAGCTAGCCATTATGACAAAATCTAAAGTGTTTATTGTGTACGCTTAATAAAATTAGTAGGTTAGCAAAATGAAACATAAGGAGATTTATTACGCAAAATAAAAACTAATGAACTTACTTTATCTAAATAAGGTTTAGTTTTCGAACTATATTCATCCCGGGAACACAAATTTATCATGTCATCAACATGCTGTTTTAAAAGTGCTTTTAATTGAGCGATATCTTCAGGTGTAGTAACTGACTGAGTATCTACAATGCTATTGAAATGGCGTTCATCTAATGCTGCATTAAGTTGAGGTTCATCTGTTAGTGGTATTTGTCCATTAACAGCCGTAACGTGATCAATTCCCAGACTCTTTATTCGGTACAATGCATCCTCAATTTCTTGATAGATTGATGACCTGTTTTAGTGCAAACACACAAAAACAAATAAAAATGTTAAGAATTCCAAGACCCAGTATAGGATATCCAGGTCACCTGTCTCCTGTAAACCACATACAAAAAAATTAGTAACATTCTGGTTAGCGTTTTTAACCAGGCGTAAGTAAGTAAGTAGGTAACATTCTTCGATTCAAAATAAATACATGATATTAACAGTACTAGTTTGAATAATATAGATCGATTCTATTGATATTTCACTGAATCTGTTCATGAGATCAATGATAAAGTTTAAGTTGTCAATATATCATTGTGGATATATATAATACCTAGTGCAAAACATGTTAGAAAATCTAAGACAATAAGTCCCTCTGATAAATTTCGATAATGCATTGAGAAGACGAACGTTATCAGGATTATGTGACATATTTGCGTAAAATATTTCGAACAATCTGATCACATATATATTTATTAAGACGTTTTATATGAAAAATAAAAGGTCAACTAGACAAATTAAAAGGCAAACGAAGACAAAATGAATAAGAAAGTACACAAAAGCGATGTGAAAACCGCTCTGGATAATAAATTAGTATTACCTGGGTAGGTTAAGGGTAAGGACTAATTTTTTTTGAACACATAAAAAGGGTTTTAGTTTCAGTATAGCCAAGGCTTCAATAAAATGTCTTAACTAGTATATATGTGATCAGATTGTTCGAAATGTATAACGTAATCCCGATAACCTCCGTCTTCTCACTGTGTTAACAAATCACCAATTCACAAAATATTTGGTGGTTCATAGAGCAAACAATTAATGAAGTGTGATCTTATGGGTACAAAAATGAATTATATATTATTATTATAAGTAATTCACCTTGAACTGCTGAGAATCTCAGTTAAAAGACCAACTAGAGTTTCAACTTGTACACCCAACTGGGTCAGATTTCCTAAAGACGTATGCATTCGAGCTAGTACAAACCTCATGATCTGAGTTAAAGCAGTGTCGATATTGCTAACATTAAACGAAGATCCTGGAGACTGAGAAATTGTCTGGTTGTTTCGGATAGATAATGAAACAGTTGATGAAGATGAATGAACTATTTTTGAGTGAGATTTTTGACTCGAGGTAATTGCTGTCAGCTGTGAAATAATTTCCTCACCAAAAACCAAATACTTTCGAAGATGAGGCAATGACCAACACGTACTTTTATTGTTATCATGTCGACCATAAATACAGAGCCATCTCAATGCATGACGTAGCTAAAATCAAAGAAGATAAATGGTGAAAAATGTAAGGTCAGATAAAAACTCAATAGACAAAAGTGTGACAACAATAATGTAGCAAGCAATAAAGTTCGTTGAAGGTGTTTTGATGTCAATAAAATTTAGTGCTACAAATTCTTAGAAAGTAAACAAATTAAAGATCGAACGACTTTAGAGGGAAACTGATAGATATTCTCAGGATTACTGTTTAAGTTGGATGTTCATTTTGAATAGTATCCAGAATCACTTCAAACTGAAAACAGACCATACATTGTAGTTCTTGAGGCTTACGACGCATTTGTTTTAAGTTCACATTTAGATATGGTACGTTTAGAAAAGTACTGAAAAAGTGCTGAGAATTGTGATTGTCTCGCAAAATACATGTCATCTGCTAAATAATACTACTGGACAACTGTTGATGACTATGAATCAAAACAACACAAAGGTTTCCTATTATTAGTGTAGAAGATAATCTTTTAGAAGCCATGTGGTAATCGCATTATCTAAATACTAGAACTTACTAATGAAACATAAAGTCTACTGATTGACATATGAAGTACATGTTGAAAAAAAATGGTATACTAGTATTACTAATTTACCATACACAACACTCAACTACTCATGCCAGAACTCACGAGATTAAGAGAATTCCATTCCGATATACGATACACATACGATGGGAATTCATTTCGTAATTTCTCCAAAAAATAGTCAAGGATTATTAAGGCTTGATCATCTGTTGAGAAAGCGTAGAAATCATTAGGGAGACAATCCGCACTAACACCAATATTGGACAAACTATCTGATATGGAAAAACTGGTAGAAATACTTCGAGTGGCATTTGTTAGGATTAAATTGCATAGTAGGTTAATAATATCACGGGCTGATTGGTGCCACGTTGTTAACTGACTTAACAGCCGTTTGACTAATTGTACTGATGGATCCTCAAAAAGATTGAGAGGATGCTGTTGTTCACAAGATTCCATCAGTCGTAAAAGATCGTATTCCCGGGGACTAGGAATTCAGAGCAAAAAAACAAAGACTAGCAGAATAGTAAAGATTCCAATTGTCAAAAATAGAACAACACATTGAGGAGAACAACGTTATTTTATATAAGATCACAATCAGACCTAATGACTTTAATTACTATGGGGTTTAACAGTAAATTTCGTGAATCCATGTGTATAACATTAAAACGAATTTGGTTCATAATTATAAACCAACCCCTTTCGTTCATCATTTTCCCTCTTTCAACTCCTCAAACCTCTCGTCCAATAATATTAATAATTTTAACAATGATAAGATCGGCTGATAGTTAAACGCTCAAAATGTTTCATTGAAGTAAGGAAAAAACGTTTTAACTTCAGTCCCAGTTTTTAATTTTTGCATTATATGCCTTTAAGATAGGAAACATAACCAGTTAACATGACACTAAATCAACAAATAAATATCTAGTGCCGATAGCACTGATATGTCAAAAATCTGCCAGTGCAACTGTATTAAATTTTCCGCCTTTGCATAAACAACTATACGTTCTTCAAGAGTTATGTATTCACGGAGTAACTTGAGTGAGAAAAGGTAATTTAATTTGATTCGATCCAACAGCCAAGAATATATTTATGTACAAGCATATGGATCAATTATTTTGATGTAAAGACTACCGAGATTATTCGATTGACAAAAACAAAGTAGAGCAGTATTCGGACCTGAAGGTCGAGGGTTGGAAACTGTGAGTTTGATTGCTAAGCAAATATTCTAACTTCCAGTTTGGGGTTGTGTGGATTTGATTGAAACCATGAACCGATCAATTTTAGATCACTATTGAAACCTGAAAGCATTGGACGGCTGTCTCGTCCTAGTATGGGACTCCTCAGCACTTCGTATCCACAATCCAGTACACAGGACACGAACCAATGACCTTCGGTCACGCGTGCGGACGCCCAACCTTTAAACCTCTGTGTCGACATCCAACGGTGTTAATGTCTAACTTCAACCAGTGCATGATATTGTGCAACCATCTTCAGTGAGTAACCGCCTCACCCTATACGGTTAGACTCGGCTGGTCACGGTTTCTCACTAGAACTCCGAGAATTCCTTCTTAAAGCTAGTCACTAGTGAGCACATGGTTGTTTTCATTTTGGGGTTGTCGAGATTTTACCTTCATCAAGACGTATCCAGCCATTCGATTAATGGAAGAAGCATAAAAGGAGTGAAATCTATTACTACATTACGTAATAATCTATGTGTAATTTATTACCTATTTGATGACTGACTATAAGGGATTTTCAGTACCAGTAATCACAACATGCAATAAATTCATCACTCATGTCACACGTGAATCTATTCAAAATGTCATTAGTTTCCATGTTGTTTGGAATGGAGTTATTATGTGAAATGGACTCTGGTAAATTAAACTCAGGCATTTCTGCTCTCAGATTTTCAAACTGAGATAGGAACTAAACTGATTTCACTTTAACCTATTATGTACTCATGAAGATGAGTGTTATTTTAAGCTAATTAAACGTTTGGTTTCAATTAAGATAAGTTAACAAAAAATAATTTCTTTCACGTGAAACACGAATATTAGAATATTGTACATGAAAATGAGATGTTTCGAAGAAATCTACACTTACTTGTTGACGTCAAGTTCATGGTTGAGAACTACATATCCATTATTCGAAGGCAATTTGATAATTTTATGTGGTGTTGCACAACCGTTAGTCGAAGAAGTCGCCACGGTAAAAGTAGCAGGACGTCGGGTTTGAAATTTTACAGGGTTGACGGTCGATGATATGCTTGTTAATGAGCTTTTGAACTTATCAGTGTTCCCGGAACCAATAATGGAGGGTTTTAATTTGACACATATTTGTTGAAGATGTTTACCACGATCTAACATAGCTTTAGCATCGTTGTAGATGTCATCAGTATGATAGCCAGCAGCCTTGCCTTCGGTCAATTTTATCTGATATCAAGAATAATACAAATCTATATTTTTAGGGCATTAAGTATAACAATCTTGTTAAAAAAAGCTGCTATGAAGAAAATGTGCGACGATAATTTTGTAAGAATTCTTCGAATAATTGGATTAAAGTCGAAGAATACTTAGCTTGTAATCAAATGATTCAAAGTACGAATAGATTTCAGGGTGATTAGAATAGTAGACAAGGTAAACTTGTAAAAATATTCGTACATTAAAATCACTTCACCCACTAGTTCTAACATGGCAAATTACTTATCTACGGATAACATTCATTTGACAACTCAAATGATAGAGTAAACCTCATATACTTCAACCCAACTATTGGGCACAGATCCGTGTACTGAACTTGTAGCCTCACTTGAAATGTGAGGGTTAGTGATACTACCCTGTTGCTTGAACCAAAAATGGAGTGGGGTTTGAACCAGTGATTTGCTGGCTTAACGACTGGTGCCTCACCCCGATATATAATCACGCCAACGATCAACATTTATGGGAATTCATTGAACATTCCCATTTGTTTAAAGGTACTTTAGTTCGTAGAATACTAAAAATGAAGAACGGTTTTAGAGGTACTGACACGCAAGAATGGAAACCACTTTGATGAATGTAGAGGTGGTAGCAGTGTACACCGTCAATGACTCACCAATAAGAATATAAAAATAATGATTTTCATAAACTGATTAGGTACATGCTACGTTTTTCTACAAAACAATATCTCATGCAACGACATTGCGAATCAATGAATTATTTAAAAAAAGTGAATGCGTCGCTTTACAGTATGACTGTTTACGTCATATTTTCAGAAAACTATGAGAATATAGTTTATACTTTATCCCTGAGAGCCATAACTAGTGGTCAAATGAATTCAATATAAAGGGTTTTATTTCTCATCAAATGCGTTAAAGTAGAAACCTAGTCGTCAAAAATCTGGTGCCTATATAGTATGATACGTTTACACATAATTGGCATGGTTTAAAAAATTGAACATAGGCCTGTGAATAATCGCTAATATTTAATTCACTTCTTGACGGCTCCTTGTGTAGCTCTATTTATGAAAACAATGATTACAAGAATATGAATGCTTCCATCTAAATATGCAGTTGAGTTCAGTCAAATATTTCTTTAAACTCTTATCTTTGCTGTCTAGTCTGACGACAATAGGTATAAAATTTCATCGACAAATGGAAGACTCTACCAGATAAAGTAAACAGTAATGTTCGGTTATCTATTTTACATTTAAGCCGCTGTATAAACTCAGGTGAGCATTTCAATGGTTTTCAGTAGCATAAGTGAAGTTGGTGCAAAATGGACATTTTAATCGCAATTAAATGCAAGTTAATAAACACTGACACGCTTACGTAATGTGCTAGGAGCTACATTTACCCTATGAAAACGAATCCACAAAATAAAGCATGCACAAAAATTTACAATTTATAATTCATTGTATCAGTTTCTGAACTACTAACACGAAGTTCCCACATATGAAGCATAAATAGAAATCGAAACTTTTGTCACAAATAAAGTTTGGCTAATCATTTTACTATGTTATATTCCAGATTATCTGTATACATTTCGTACAAAAAACATAAGAACAAAAGACAAGTCTTATAACATTATTAATTACCTCCAATTCCTCAAGTGTCATAGTACCTGAAGTTGAGTTGTTAGATACAACAACATGATTATCATTAGCTTCTTGTTTCATGAAGTGATTACTTGAGAAAGTGTTTGAATCACTCGGTTTAATTATAACAGATAACTGATTTCTCCATGCATAAAAATGGGCTAGGCGATCAGCCAAAGATTGTTCTAAACTGCATAGTTCCTCTATTGAGTAATGATAGTTGAGTACAAAAACTGAGGGTGGACATTTCTTGCACAATTCGGACACATGTTTTAGACAAACCATATGGCTAGGAGGTCGCTTTTCCTCTGTAAGGGGTAAAAAAGAAATACTTTTCTGAACACTGCACTAAATTATTCGCTGGAAGCATTTGAAAAATCCTATTCAAATTTCCATTAGAAATATAATTTAACCTGATTTACATCATATCTGATTGTCGTCTGCTCATTCAATAGCCAAACTTTCGGATGAATAGTAATTTTTTTAGTAAAACTACATTTAGAAATTAGATAAGCGATAGTATTACAACTAATTTTCATGAACGACACCATATCACCAATAATTCACAAATGAAAAATAGTGAAATATTCTGAATAGCTGATTGCTTTTACAAATATACTGTTTACTAGCTAGATTTTTGAGTATAAAATGTAATGAAAAACTATGAATTGGATGAAAATGAGGGGGTTTGGAATTTATGTATTGGTTAGTAGCTATGTGAAAAACATCCTGAAATGATGCACCACTGCAGACTGACTAGTTACGTTTGAGATGTTTGGGAAACAAACGAAGGTAACAGGAATTTCAATGAAATGAACGGTTATTTTGTTTCTTAATTTAAAAGAACATGGTATCACAAAGATATACTAGGATTGAAGTCAGTCTGCCATAAGGAATTCATGAACCTGACACGAAACGTGCATTGCCCTCAGGTTGCCACATCTTATCAGTACAAAAGAAAGAAATTACCAAGATGAATACCTGCGTAATACAGGTACTACTAGTGATAGTAAGGTCAGGCTTAGATAGTATGACTCGATAAAAATGAAATTGTGGGACATAAGTTGCAAAACGATTGTTTAATTCAAGAAGTTAATGACAAACACTGAATGTATGTTGTATTACGATCTGAACAGCTAAAGAACCATGGTAAATTATGAAGCGATAGATAGGGTTTTCAACGGCTTAAAACTCCTAGAAAACCTATACACTTCAACACTTAAGAGACGAATTGATTGGTGAAACTGAGCCTTCATTTAATGAGGTAGCTGAGGTATGTAGTAACCAAACCCATGGCCACACGTTGACTACCTCGACACCCAATATATTGACTGAATTAGGGATTGTTTAAATGAAGACTGATGGAGGCCAAACCAAGATCGAGTATCAGTCAATGAAGTCACTGAAACGTGTTGGTAGATCCACCCTACTTGATTGAGGTCTATAAGATCATCAGTGAAAGAGACTGAGTGATATGGCTCAAGATCGGTTACTGTGGCGTCATTCAGTCAAATGCAACGTAGAACATGGTGCGTGTGTAAATAGGTTCAAGTTTCCGTACCCCATTAGTACAATGAGATGAAATTGTGGTAACAACAGATAAGGCGTCGAAGATACTATGTTGGTGTTGTATCCCGATAAGAATAATGAGTGGCAATTTTCGGGATCCATTTATGGACCAATATTATGAGTATATTTTTATCGTATAACTTTTATGTAACTAAACTGTTCATATTCATGTCCCTCTTGTTATGAGCTTGATTTTGACCTATGAACTATTATTATACGATTTATCATTCATGAATTATTACCTGTCTGTTAATCGCTACCTCCCACATTCACAGCCACATCTGGTTAATTCTTGTACAAATTTTGTTTCATATTTTATTGGTACGTTGTGGTCGGTTTGTTTGGTATATAAACTCAGTATTCTTGAAATATAACGACTCATATCTCAGAGGCTGAGACTTGCGTTCTGGACTCAACTGGCTGGGCTAGACAGGGAAGCGAGACCAATCAGAACTCTAGGCCGTTCTTACGTGTTTACGCGTCTTTGGTCCGATCGATAATACGCTGCGCCCTAATATGCAGTACAGTTATAACAGTTGGTGCGGATGGAATCACAATACATCTTACCCTAAGTTTTGAGCTTCAGTATTACCACTAAAATTCATCACTTTCCGAACCATATTTCTCATTACTAGTGAAACTACTATAATTTCAATTCTTATGCCATTTGTATTGTAAATTTCATCTCGTTGCGATGTGGAATGGTAACTGAAGCTGATTTTTTCAAGTACTGACTGACTAACTTAGCAGGTTGCATTATGGAAGCCTAAAGGTAGGCAAAAAGTTTCTTGTTTTTCAAAAGTTATCTGATTTAACTTTAGGACAAGACGAAAATTCATAAAACTAACTACACTACTTAAAAGTAGTAGGATGGTATTAACTTTTTAGTAATAACTTAGCTAAAACTACTGATTATCAACAAAAATGCTTAAAAAATAATTTGAAACAAATAAGATGACGAATTAGGAAGTCAAAACGAAAAAAAACACACCTTCATTAGATTCATCTATAATGCCATATGGTTCATCCGACATCTTGTGTTTTCGTGCAGTTGTACTAAGGTCATCCAAAAAACGGTTATTTGGGTTCTCTAATCTTTGAATACTGGTGTTCGATTCATAAATACATGAACAACTAACTCCAGATAAAAAAAGAGTAGTCAAACAGAAATCACAGACACGTGCATCATCTGACATTTCGTCGAATCTAACTTTTCTCGAGTTAGACACACCACTTTGGATGATTAATTCTCGTAACCGTCGTTCTTCTTTGAGCACACAAGTAAACTCTTGATGCACAATAGCTACAGCACCTATGTCGAGACCTGAAGTTGAACAACCAGGAGGTAATTTTTCACTGATATGAGGTTCAGGATTGTCTGAGCATTCACCATTTGAAGTACAGCTAGTAACAGGATTTGTTAAAGTGAGTATTTCTTCTGGAAGAACATTGCCCACAGCTACTTCAGCCAATGTACATAATAGTTCATCGTTTGAAAATACACAATGTCTTTTAATTTCAGCATAATGTTCAATACAAGCACGGCCAATAGGAAGCTTAGGAATGCAACATTTTAAAACATACGATTGAAGAATTATCAATTAAAATATATTAATAGTAACAGAAAGTTGTTCACGTATGAAGCCACTGCCCCAAAACGAAATTGATATTATCAATGATAAAAACACAAAAATAACTGATATCAGTCGTTGATTCAATCTATTGATACCAGAGCAGTATAAAATGGCACATAATAAAACACACACAAACTATAACAAGTGTCTCCCATTTCAAGATGACATGGTACAAAGGGAACAGTGATCAAACTCAGGGAGCAACTCAGCACTTTCCGATTTTAGAAAATAGATACGACAAGATTAAACCAAAGACACTTAGTGAAGTTTGTGTTACGCCCTACCTCTTAAAATTAGAATATCGTCTCCATGAAGCTAAACAATAACAATCCACCAGGAGTTAGGATATTGGTTTGGACAGAACGGTAAAACATAATCTAAACGAAGTTCAAATAACTAACAAAACTAGTGGCTAGTAACTTGAGGTTGTACAGTTCAAAATCAACTTTAATAGTGTGAATGCGTTTGTATTAGATACTGTAGTGGGCATTATGCTGCATACTGACAGTTGTTTTATATAATTTTATTGTTACACGCTGGTATTTTGACAATAATTGCAAAAGAAACTAGAGGAATTTTTTAAACTGAATTTTTTAGTAATTCAACAAATAATTTTTTTCGAATGTGACTTAAAAGCTCAAACGGATGTTAAAAAATGAGCTTACCCAATCAGGTAGACATATATTAACAGCCTCAGCAAAATTGAAGCCTTGATTGAATCCAGCATGATAAGCGCGCGGAAATGTCACGACAAACTCTCCACAGTGTTGATCAGTCCGATATATTGGTACACCTTCTGCTTGTAAAATATTCGGATTTACATTAGTTGTAATGTGATGCAGTAAATCTGGTGCTTGATCGAAAAGTTCTGTAGCGTGTTTTTTCATAGCGCGTTCAAAATCATCTGCGTGCAAACGGGATACACCATACCAAGTTTTCGGCTCACCCCTATTTTACAGTCCACGAAAAACATTTCAATTTAAAAGATGATCACAGTGGATAGTGTTAATAAAAGTGCTAGATCCCCCAACCAAAAATAACTTTTTAACAATGAACAAAAACAGACAGATAGCAGTAAAATAAATTAGTGCCTGGCTGTTAAAGAATACAAGAAGCATGTATGACTAACAGTAACTGGAAATGTAAACTGAGTTTATGAGCATTGAGTGGTAAGAAAATTCATAAAAATATATAAATATTTCTAGTTTAGCAAATTTAGTGAATAATCGCTTCATACGGATCTTATTATTACTAGTTTGACAGTTCGTTACATGGCTTAACAACAATTATACTTGAAAATGAGTTTTACTGCCTCTTCTAGTGGAAATAACTAGTTTGGTGTGCAGTCTGGCAGTAGTTTATCCACTAAATTAGTTGAAAGATAGTGCTTTAGAACTACATTAGGAACTGCATAGTGGTTTCCAAAATGCTTAAACACACGGTACAAGATCATAAAGAAATCACTGAAAATCTAAATGATAGATGCAGAATAGTACAGAGGTTGCTAATACGTATTGACATTTATATAAGAAATTATGAGAACAAAATAGGAAGTTTCACTGTTCACAAGTTAAAACCAGACCTGTGAATCTAGTTAGTGACATGGGAGATAAACTGGAATTCACAAGCGGCCACAGTTTTAAAAGTCAAATTAACATCAATTATTAAAAGCAAATTTCCAACTAACCAATGATTAAAATTGATGGAGTAGCTCCAATGATCTTCAATATGCCAACAAAAGCTAGAAAAAACCATACCAACATAGCACCAAGGGATTTTCATACCGTCTATGTTTCCTTTAATGAACCTCAAGACTGATCTGTTAGTCATCAAAAAATTATAAGTACAGTATTAATCATTTATTTAACATTTATTAAATAATATGTGCATATGATAAACGAGTTAAAAAATATCATATTTCAGACAACCACCAACCTTTCATAGATCATGTTAATCTCGGAGTGAGTCTCCTTAGACGCTTAATAAATTTCTTGACTAATGATGAAATTGATAACATACTGTAGAAGCAATTAATATTCATTAAATTACGAGTACGTTTTAACAGTTTTAAATGTGTCCATTTTGTTAGTTTTCTTTTGCCTAACATCCAAGGCCCCATAATATGGTCAATGTATAAACTTATATAAGATGATTTTATATTTCTAGATGGTTCATAAAACCAAGAGTAGGTATTCTTTAGAGCAGATAAACTGAAAAACCAGATGGATATCAAATAACAAACTTCCAAATGAAAAGAAATAGAAAAATCTGAAAAGTAGAAATGGGTTACAATTTGGCGTGATATACACATAGAAGAGTTTTGAATTATTCATTGAGATAATGATGTACTATGGTTAGGGGTTATGTTGTGCACAATTATCTCAGTTTCAGTTTGTTACCTGTAAAGCTACTGTCTAAGTATCGAGTATGAATAGAAAATCAACATATTAAACCACAAAATTTCAGTTGAAATTAATAGTACCCATTGGGCAGGAACAAAAAAATACTATTTGATTGATTAAACAATAGTATGCAAAATTAGTTTGGAATCTGATACATAATAAATAAAGTTAAGCGGCTAAATCATAGGGTCATCTTATTATAGAACTGAAATAGCTGTAATTACATCCGCGTTGCAATTCATATTTCTAAAACAAACTACGTTAAATCACACTAACATTTTTAGGAAATAAACAATCAACGTTATTCAACTTACCGATCTAACAACGGTAATATATTTAAGTTCCAAGGGCTATCAGCGTACTTCTTTGCTTCTGCCAGTTGGGAAGCAGTGCCAACTAAGTTCTTTAGCATTGATTTTGTTGGAAACCCCGACCCCTGAGAACTTGAGTGAATATCAGCGCCGTATTCAACGACGACATCATCATTATACTCCTGTAAGATACGCCAGAATTCACGTTCTACTTCACTGCATGGCACATCCTGCTCATAAAAGACATGTTACGTATCCGTTTATATTAAGACTACTACTTATGGCATATAATACTTAACTCCCAAAAAATATGTACAGGCAATATTCTCATTTGCACTTAATGAAGGTATACGTAAGATCAAATATTTAATAAACGTTTTAGCAATAGCTTATAAACTGGTCTTAAATCGGATAGTGAGATGAGACAAAACAGTGAGTAGCAGATTGGATGAACACTTTTTCGATGAGACCATGGCACAATTATAGCACGTAACTAATTCTATACCATTTCCCTAAACTAGGTAGAAAATGGAAACGAATTCTCAGCGATCACTGTCTAATGGCTAATTGTGAAAAGTTATAAGATCCGGAGAGTCATAAAACGGTGATTAAATAATTATATTAAAGATATTTATCATGCTTAGTCAGAAATTGACAGTTCTACAATACTAGTAATGAATATAGACTACATACGTTCAAACTACAGCAGAAATTCCCTTCTGTAAGCAAAATAGAAACGAATCTAAAACTATTTAGGGGAATCCTAAAACTTGAATAGCATTCAGGAGCGAAATACTAAACGGAAAAACAACAAACTTCATTTCTCCATAAAACAAATTATGTCGTATTTATGATACTAAAAATGGGCCAAAGCGATGTGATTCAAATAATAACACTACTGATTAAATCTTCATCGCCTATAACATTATGACTAGGAAACTATTTAACAGCAACTTTTTTTAATCACGCTGACATTGTAATATGATATTCGATTTGTTTTCTGAACTGTTTTACAAATGGAAAGATGAATAGAGATAAACAGACATGATATCTTTTCCAATGGCATAGGTATATTTACTCAATTTCTTTAACAGGGTTATTTGAGAACACGGCCTAACATTTTACCGAGTAAGCTTACCAGCTGATAGCCAACGCAGACCTGATGCGATTGCAAAATCAAGTCTCTTCAAAACGATATATAACATTATTGTGTTGTTTGGTTTTGTCAAATATCCACTGAAGGGAGAAAACATACATACAAAACAATATGGAATACTATAACGAATCAGACTAAACAAACTTGTTTGTTGAAGAGCAAGAAGAATAATCCCAAAATTGTTATTAGAAAGAACATGAGTAGCCTCGGAAAAAAGGCATGATATCATGAGATTTCTACGAGGATGAAAAAGGCAAGGTGGATTTACTAGCGTTTGCAGCGGATTTTGAAACGTTCCCTTCACGGTAATCTACCATTTCCCTCTAACAAGTAAGGGACTTCATTCAACCAACTGGTGCTTTCCCAGATAAATAAGGCTAACAGAATGACTGAGTACACTAGTTATGGTTTAGTTCATAATTATAATAAAACCTAGAACTTGACGTGCAATCAAAGGCACACTAAAACCCATAAATGACTACCTTCAACCTTCCAATCCCTTTTTATCAGTATCTATGACTACACACCTCAAGTGAAATGATCAAAAAACAGTTTGAGTAGATGTATTCTTCGCTTTTCAGCTTTGAGCTTAACTTGGTAGTGTTAACACCTTGATTTTATCTGTTCCCTACGAACAATAGTTCGTATTCATCGTTTACCATTTTCATTAGCGTTTTCGCTCCTTCAGTTTTACATTTTGTTAATCCTTTTCTGTGAGAATATGAAGTTAAACAATTTTGACAGATGCAGATTCCTGCAAAGTCCTCCGCTACTTATGAGTAACTGAACAAACAAAAGCAGAATGTATATCTAGGAAACAATATACATCTAACACGATCATACAATGAGATACACAGTGTATAGTTTGCAATGTTTTGAAAGGTTCGTTGACTATTTCCTAAACTTCAGCTGACAAGTTAGAAAAAGTAAGAGGAAGAGATTAACATTAAAGCGGTGATTCTTGTGCTACTGAAAATATGAGGGGAGAATACATTTTGTCGACCAATAATTAGGTTACCGATATTTGATACCGGTCGGTTTAATAGGTGATAACATAAAAGGTGTCAGTAGCAGAATCTAGAGGTGGTGTGATTAAAAGTAGGTAGTTCAATATTACGAGCAGTGATAAATTTAATATATTGACCAGTTTCTTTGATTTGGAAGGTAGTTTTTCCAGGAAAAAAAGTTCGTTTATGCTTTCCGGTGGGACGTAGGTGGAAAAGGAACAAGTAAATTGGGAATAAATGCGCCTACTTTCATAATACTTTAAGCGATCAATATTTTACTTTGAATCTTCTCGGTTAGTATCTGTTTCGTCTAGTTACCGAAATGCTTTGGTATCTGATATTTATTCGTCCTTTGATGTTCCAAAGCACAATAACAATATGAAGTATACTAACAGATTACATGCTTTTTTCTGGAAAAAGGCTTTTAGACATACTAATTTACTAGAAGTAAAAACGAATATCCATAAGTATAAAATAATGATTATGGGCGACTAAAGATCTAGCAGCTACACCAGTTGTGAAGTCATTCATTCTAAAACGGTGGTTTTAGTCAATATATAAGAATGAAGGAGCCAGTACAAAAAGTGAACCAATATATTCCGTTTTAGCCAATCGTAGATGAACATTACTTAAAAGCCACGAACATCGAGCAGATTTATGGACACACTCATATACTACACCAGGATTTCGGTCACATGAATCAAATGTCATTGTTGATTCCTTCTTCCTGTACTATGTCCATATATGCAATATTTCTTTAATATATTACCACCACTGAATTATCTACTTCTATGAATCCGGTGCTAATTAGGTAATGGCAACTTGGACGGATGCAAATACGTGCCTGGTCCTACGTTGTAGCTGACTGACTAACTGAATGTCATTATAAAGGCATGAGCACTGGTCTATTGCTCAACATAAATTATGATTAAACAATCTTATCTTGATATGAATTTAAGAAACCATGACTGAACTTAGTGAATAAAAGTAACACGAGCACCGGAGAGGAAATTGGCATGACTAGTAAGAGAATGAAAATACATTATATGCTAAGATAAACGTGAAAATTTAAGCTCTTTAACAAAAGCCATTGAATGATCGGAAGCGATGGAAATGAAACTGTATTACAAGCCAGAAAATGAAGCGGAAAATGGCAAACAACTACTGCAAATCATACTTACAGTGCATGGACGTTTGAAATAAGTAGATTTGAATTGATCTGCCATTACACCAAACTCTTGAAGAGAATAAGTCTTGCTCGATTGAGGGAATCCATATACATCCACCGGATTACAACAGATAGCTCTGACACATTCAGGGCATTTCCACTGGCACTTTGGGATGGAACGAAGAGGTGGGTCAAGACAATACAAGTGATAGCAAGCTTGACAGCTATCTGTATCACAGACAAGTAGATTGGTTTCATCATCTCCATGACCACAAACTCGACAATTATATTCATCAATCTGTAAACATTAGTGAAACTGGACAAAATTCCAGGAACTTACGTTGACTTCTGGTTTGAAATCTGTTGAATAAAAAGCGATAAACCCAATATTTTTTAAAACCTACTGCTTGGTCGTCCATCTTCAGGAACAACAGCTTTTCGTCCAGGACCAAAAAACTGCAGGTTTTTTAACTCGTTACTAGCCGAGTAATCTATCTTCTCTTCCTATTAATTGATAAGTTAGTCTCTAAGAATACACTAACCCCAACTGATTTTCTGCCACGTTTATAACCACTCCAACGACTTCTAGGGTGATAAGTGGTCTAATATTGTTAGAAAAATTAACACAGAACTACCTTGGTGGGCCGAGACGGATATGATACAACTTGGTCGAATGATAGTAGCAGTTTTTCATAGTTGGTTTTAATTGTATGTGCATGACGGCTTTGATAACCTAACTTTTCAGCAATATCAGACCACAATTGGTTATCGCAAGCTTGACGATATCCACCAGCTTCTGCGACACGTTTGTGAAGAGCATATAGATCTAAGTAGCGTCCACTAATACTAGGTACTCGGATTTTGTCGCCTCCCTGTAGGGCGAAATTAATTACAAGATGGAAATACCTGTAGCTGGACAAACTTGTAGAGACGGCTGATAAAATTCAACTTGATACGAGAATGAGCCTGGAGTTTGATGTAAAAAGAAATGGAAGTTACTTCTAGCTCGTACAACCGCTGGATTCGTGGTGTGAATGAAAACTCCTTCATATTGACAGCGAACGGAGGATTCCAACACTGCAAATAAAAGTTAACAGTAATCCATAAAATGGTAACATTGTTGGGGAGAAAATATATACACTTCTTGTGGAATTAATAGAATACTTATAATTAGTACGATATACATAGTGGTGTAATCTATGCTATTTTTTATTCACGAGGTTTTGTCAGAACTAACTTACAAACAAAATAATTACGATCATGAAATATGATCAAAATGTCACATAAAGTATCCAAGCCTACCTTGGGAGGGACGATTTTGCATATCCCAGTTTTTATACATATTGGTCGGATTTTCATCAAGTAGCCAAGTGGGTCTTCAAATTCTTCAGGCGTTGGATAAAACACAGGAGCCTCAGGAGGTGGTACAAAGGAGAAATCGCTAGGCATATTTCACTCCTAAAGGTAGGGAAACGCTTAATGAGTTAAGGAAATTAAGTTACGACATTCATACATAAAATCAAATAATATTCAGGTCCAAGAAATTAACGGTATGCAGTACCAATAAATGACGGAATTATGAGGACGTCTGTAGAGGCAGTAGCCATTAGTGCAATGGCGGTACATGGGATTGTCTGGCGGCATTATGAAGTTGAATAGTGCAGAACGTAGGAGCTACTTCTCTCACATATGCACTGGATATGCGACAGCAATAAGTAAGATTTTCAAAGACCTACTGATTAATGTAGCCCGGAAAATTCACTAGGAAGTCATAAGCTACTAATTACAAACAACAAAATTATTGAGTTGGGAAAGTAATTAATTTAGGGTGTTTATAAATTCCTCAGAGACTCTAAATATATTTAGGACCCAAATGTTTTTATATGGGCTGCCACTGTGTAAAGCAACATTTATCCATGAAAATTACTACACGCAATCCAACGTTTGGGGAATGAGAGAGCTCATCCCGATTTCGGAAAATGATAGCTTGGTACAAAATACACTAACCTTTAGTTGAGATACTGATATCCTGTACTTGGCTTTTTTTGTGCGTAGAAGTGTTGGGCAATGGCACCACTTGGGTCTTCCTGATTGGCCAGATATAAAAAATTGGGGAGGAACTCAGTAAAGCTTTTCTCGCGTACTCCCTCGATTATTGCGGTTATTCGAGTTCATTCCCTGTAAATACTTTTATTTGAACACGACACGCTAATAGCAAGAATACTGGAATGTCAGCGAAAGTTAGTCAGGTAAATATTCGAATTATTAAATAACACAACGTATGAACACTGTAACGCATATCTTATGTGCTTGAATTCACGAAATTTACGTATTGGGTATTTTTATGTTATTTATTAATTATATCAGTAATTTTAATACTACTACTTATGAGTAATAAAATTAGGCGAGGAATTATTTATATCAATCGTTTTTCGAGGGGAGCGACGTACAAATGGTCAACGTAAGTTCAGCGTCTGGTTGCTAGGTTGTGTTTTCTTTTCTTTTAGTGTTTTACTGACACATGTAAATACTTTTTGATAACTTCTTAGTTAACTGCAACAGTTCAAGAGGCGGCGGCTCGCGAAATTACGCGTATTGAGCGCATAGGAGCTCACTCACATATTCGTGGTCTGGGATTAAATGACGATCTTGAAGCCCGACAGATCTCTCAGGGCATGGTTGGCCAATGTAAGGCCAGAAGAGCAGCTGGCCTTATCTTGGGTATGATTCGTGAGGGCAAAATCGCTGGGCGTGCCATACTTCTTGCTGGTCCACCCGGTACAGGCAAGACTGCAATTGCTATGGGTATGGCTCAGGCACTTGGTCATGACACACCATTCACTGCAATGGCTGGTAGTGAAATATTCTCATTAGAAATGAGCAAGACAGAAGCTCTTACTCAAGCATTCAGAAAATCAATTGGCGTGCGGATCAAGTAAGTTATACTTTTCTTATAATATCCTCAGAGAGGAAGCCGAAATAATTGAAGGAGAAGTTGTCGAAGTCTTAATAGACCGTCCAGCAACTGGAACAGGCGCAAAAATAGGCAAATTAACGCTTAAGACAACTGAGATGGAGACAGTTTACGATCTAGGTCAAAAAATGATCGAGTCCCTAACAAAGGAAAAAGTTCAAGCTGGGTAATTTCTTACTAACTATATTCAATTTTTAGTGATGTTATTACTATTGATAAACCCTCTGGAAAAATAACAAGACTAGGTCGGTCGTTTACCAGGGCTCGAGACTACGATGCTACCGGTGGTCAAACAAAGTTTATTCAGTGTCCGGAAGGTGAATTGCAAAAACGAAAAGAAGTTGTTCATACTGTTACTTTACACGAAATCGACGTAATTAACAGCAGGACTCAGGGTTTTCTTGCCCTCTTCAGTGGAGATACCGGTGAAATAAAGTCGGAGGTTAGGGATCAAATTAATCACAAAGTAGCTGAATGGAGGGAGGAAGGAAAGGCAGAAATAGTTCCTGGTGTAAGTCACGTTTTTCACTTGTAGTACTTAACAGTTATTCGTTCTTATTTCGCCAATTCGTGTTTTAACCGTTCCTAAATGCTTTCTAAATGGATAATGTACAATTCGCACATAATGTTTGAAGCATGGTGGAGGTGAGACTAATTTATGGACGAACCAATCTGGTAACAGGTCTCGGATTAGGCGCGGAATTCGTTCATCCATTTAGTTAAATAGAGTTTTGGCATTACAGCTGATATCAGTTCGTAATAACAAACGTAAGTTGCATTCTTAACCTTAACCATCAACTGTAAACCACAATTCCAATTCCCCACATTGATTTACAACCCTCATTTGATCCTCGTTATTAGGTGGACACTCAAAGGTCGTCCATAAATTATAGTCTTACCCCAACCGGTCAGTGATTAAGTCCTTTACCTGGTATTAACTCTCGCGACTAAAATCATTCACGGCTGTTTCCTACAGTCCGAAGAACGACCTTCTTAATTCGGCATGTTTATCAGATTTTAGTCGCGTTAATTGCTCCTTGTTTTTCTATTCAGTAGCGTATCTATTCACATATTCTTTCCCTCTTAAAGGTCCTGTTTATTGACGAAGTGCACATGTTGGATATTGAATGCTTCTCATTTCTTAATCGAGCTCTTGAATCTGACATGGCCCCTGTGTTAATTGTGGCAACAAACCGAGGTATCACAAGGTAACTTACGTTATCTTCATATCCTTCATTATTACTGACCTTATATGGCATTTGTCATTGTCACAACTCGAACCGATGTATACATGTGCTAGGTTTTACGTTGTTTATAACTAACTGACTTTCCCCATTGAATTTAAATAAGTATGTCATATACTAGTTATTACATCTGTGTAGCTCTCAGAAACAGCATGACTTTGGAAACCTGTCAGAATAAAACTGTAAACGGATTGCAATTACCATCTCTTCACTTTATCTTCAAAATGAAATAGGCTTTGTGAATGTTTTTGGTTTCACTCCATGTTTATTATTTGGATTAGTAATATTATACGAATGCCCACCTAAAGCAGTCATTAATTGTTGGGCCTATTTACTCAAAAGTGGCGGACCCTGTGGGTCAGAAAGTCTTTCTAAGTGCACTTATGATTTTGTCAAGTTTACCCCTACATAATTCATGCATCTGTCTAAAGACAATGTATAGTTGAACAATACTACAATTTCTTGAAGAGTACATTTCGATCTAGAATAGATTTTATGTTGACTTCATTTAGTTACGATGTATTTTTTTAAAGAATGTAAACAAAAGTTTGAACAATTTTGCCTCTCGTTTCTTTTCTAAGTTTTGCCTGATAGCATCTGATGCTAATGAGTTAAACAGAATTTAGGATTTCCTCCAAGAAACCTTGATTAATCGATAACCACAGTTGTAAATTTGTTGTTTCCATAGTTTGATCTGATATAGGTATCCATACCAAGGTTGGGCTTGGTAGTTTCAAATAAATTGAGAAGAGACTTAATAATAAATATATTTTTGTTATATCCCAATGAGTAGGAAAACTATATTTCCGACGTTTCGTGACTTCATGTATGTCACTTCTTTCGAGCAAATAAATGAGCGACATTAAATTTATTAATTGATCTGATATGATGCACTTTAGCTAACTGATTGCTACATGAAAGACTGATTTTAAAGTTGTCGGGATTCCTCAACTGGTTGACTACTAAGAACTGAAGTTACTTATATATTCAAACACATAAATATTGGTGCAAGAAGAAACCGAATACATATACGCCACAATTCATCATTCGATTTATGAGGGATTGGATACTGGTCGGGCGCCCAAACCGAAGCAGATGGTTTTCCTAGGGATCACTTCCCGAGCCCTTGACATAAAGGTCTAATCCACAAAGCAGTGGAGCAACGTAAGGAGATGCAGTCACATGGTAGCCGGTGACCAACAATTGGTTCATACGTTATTTGTTCCTTCAGGATACTGAAGCCCATGTGCACCATTCGTTTGGAATCAGGGTTTTACAACTCCCCTAGATGGGTCCTATATATCCAACAACCTGGTTAAAGCTCCAAACAGTCGCTTTTGGTCCTCCCAATTTGTAAAGAACACCCCTGTCATGAAAAGGCAGAGAGTAGAACTTCCTTGATAATGTCTGTATACGCGTGGTCATGTGAGCATTTTAAGAGGAAGAGTGCACTCTCCCCACCCTCGATCGTACCGGGGCATTCGGGGGCAAGGACTGAAGTAACGTCTATTGAATCACAACTGTTTCCCTTATAAAACCGAACACAAAGTATTCAGCATTAAAATTTTAATATTACATGACCTTTGCAAACCCAATGGACCATCCCATAAATTCAGGATTTTGAATCTCATTTCTTTGTATTTGATCTCTATGTTTTATTCATATCCCTCATTGTATCGTTAGATTGGTTAGATTTCCATAACTTACTTTTCACCTTGTGTTCTTGTGAAGCTTAATAATTTAACATTACGCTATCCTGTCCTGTTTTATTCGTTCGTGATGTATCTGACTTCGTCAAATGGCACGGCAGTCTTTGATTGTCACTCTAAATGTCTAGGTGTCTTCGTCATAGTCTTATTTACTTCCCTTGACATTGCCTTCGTTTTCTAGTGTTTTATGTAATACAGCTTGATCACTTCTTTATAACTGACTATAACTCGTTGATAAGAAACTGAATCAACTTGTTCATTGCCATTTCTTTTAAAATTTTGAAGAATTCGTGGTACTAATTATCAGAGCCCACACGGAATACCTATTGATCTTCTTGATCGTCTCCTCATCATTTCAACTGACTCATATACAGACAAAGAAATCCAAGCAATTTTGAAGATTCGTTGTGAAGAAGAGGATGTTGATATTTCGGAAGACGCACTGGTCGTTCTTACCCGAATCGGTATGCAGACATCCTTACGTTATGCAATCCAACTGATAACCACTGCAAATTTGGTGTGTCGAAAACGCAAGGTAAGCTTGCTTCCTTTCCCAATAGTCGTCACTTACTGCTACTACGCGTTTTATGAATGTATGTATGTAAATCAATTGCTTTGAGCATGTAATTATATAGCTTAAAGTGATGTATAATTTAGGGACCAAAGCCGCTCGTATAGAATATTTTCTGGTAACTATACACATGAATAGCGGCATTTTATCTACTAGTCTACTTAATGAATCCAAGCCACAGTTCAGAAAATTACAGTAAATTAATCTACAGTCCCACTACGTTCATCAGAACATTTAAGTTCGGAGTTTTGAGATCAGGTGTGCAGTTTAAGCCAATTTTTTTATTTTTAAACTAGGTTTTCAATACAATCAGTTTTATCTTGATTATGTTTTTCTTATTTTATCTCAGGGCTTAGAAGTCAGTAAAGAAGATATACGAAAGGTGTATTCTTTGTTTATGGATGAGGCTCGGTCGACTCTTTTTCTCAAGGAATATCAGCAAGAATTTATGTTTAATGAAATATCTGAAATACAACCTTCCAATTCAGGTTTGTTCTTTTTATGATCTATCTTAAGCATTATAGTTATGAGATGATTCTATTTTATCTTATTGATCTTTCCTTGTTTGAATCATCACAGTCGTGCGCAAGTCACATTCTTAGTTTGTCCAAATTAATCAATAATAGCAGTTCATGTAGTCAAATTTTGATCTAGTGATTGAGTTTAAGCCTTTGCAGGAATTTTGTTTTTCCCTTCTGTAGGAACTGTAAAGTATGGTCTAGCATAAGTAAGCTCTTCTCGACTGAATTTTGATTGACAGTCGTTTATGTGCTGTCTGACTAAATTGGACAGTAAAAACTGAAAGATAGAGACACACGCCTTTCCCCTTCGTTGTCTCTGTCTACGCTTTCACTGATTGCAGTCAGGATGACTTGCTCGCTCCTGTTACGCTCATGAAGGTGCATAGGCCGCCCACCAGTATTCTCCATCAAACTCTGACCTGGGCAATCCTTTCCACTTCCCAGTTGCTATTTATCCTTTTCATGTCTCTCCAATTCAGGATTCCATGTAAGCGCTTGCTTCGTAATGCAGTTTGGTGATTTTCGTAATGTATGTCCTATCCACTTCTAACGTCTTTTCCTCATTTCCTCTTCAGATGGAAGCTGGCTTGTTCTCCACAGTAGGCTGTTGTTGATGGTGTCTGGTCAACGGACATTGAGTATCTTGTGTAGACGATTGCTCATATACACTTGTACATCTTTGATGATGGTTGTGGTGGTTCTCCAAGTTGAAGCTCTGTACAGTAGGACTGTCTTGACGTTCGTATTGAAGATTCTGACTTTGATGTTGCTTGCGGCCAATTGTTTCGGGTTCCATATGTTCTTCAACTGTAAGAATGTTGCCCTCGCTCTGCCAATCCTTGCCTTTACATCCGCGTCAGATCTTCCACATTTGTCGACGATACTACCCAGATACGTGAAAGTTCCTACCAGAGTTTCTCCATCAAGTGTGATTAAGTTCGTGTTCTCCGAGTTGTGACCGGTCACTCCATCTATTTTTGAATAACCGTTTATTTTTAGCAACCTTTAAAGGAAACAGATATGAAGATTCTGACTCTTTGTAAGACTATCTCAGAAAAAGATGGGACTAGTATTCGCTTTCAATTCACGGAATTAGACCGATGGGTAGTCGTTTTAGATGACTGTCCTTCAGCTACCTGATATCTCCTCCACCTCTCAGGTTTAAAATACTCATTAATATAAGGCATTGATGAGCAGCAGATCCGGAAATTCTTTACGATCGTAGACCTATTTTAGCAGTTATATTGAAAGACATTAACTGAAGTCAGACGACTGGGCTATTCTCAATCACTAATTGTCTAGGTATGTAAGCAAGGATAAAACGCCTCTTGTGACAAAGGAATCAATTCGACCAATGTCGTGTTTAAAATTTTAGCGTAAATAATCCAACGTTTAACTAGTCCTCATGAGGAGCAGACCGAATAAGAACATTTCACACCTGAACGTGGATATGTAGACCAGGTTTTTTCCCTTCGTCAGGTTCTGCAACACGGGCGTATTCCCTGACATCCAATCATAGTTGTATCCCCTGACCTTAAGATAGTGTTCAAGCCCGTCGATCGTAAGGTTCTGTATCAGTATCTGTCATTAAGGCAATGTCATCAGGTGTATGATTGGGTTCAGGCAAAGCTAGGCACATCCGAGTCTAAACATGACACCAATTCATGAAGTCATTGATAGTTGAACTAAGCCATGTAAATAAGTGTAGACTACCTGGTCGGGGTTCCACGTAATTGTCGTAACGAATAATTAGGGTTTATTTATAATGACGCAGATGAATCCAATCTCTGACCTTCCCGTAAAATCTGAGTCTCGAAATCTTTTAACTTCTTTCCACTACTATAGGATTTGTCATGAGAATCTTATCTCGCTGTGCTTATGTAGCGTAGTAACTTAAACCCCAATGCACATGTATCAGGTTTTACGTTGCACATAACCAAGCAGTGACATTTTCCTCGAATAAAGTTACACTTCGATCTTTCGTTTTGTCGTACCCAGTCATTTTGGAACTTAAATAAGCATTTTTATCAGTTCAGCTCTATTGGATCGTCGAGTTAGGAGTCTTGTCAATAACTTGAAGCACCAACCATTATTTTGAAGGATGTGATAATAACATCAGATTGGCTTATGCGATGAATCAGGTTACTGACTGAAATGAATGTATCTTATTTCTTGAAACTACAACTATGTAGTATGTGCTAGTGCCCTAAAGCAGCAGAACCATAAATTTAGAAATATTTCGAAGTTATATTACAAACCGTCATTCCACTTAAGTATGTTTATAATCTTAATGCTTTCAATGCGTAATGACAGGTTTATCATGTTCCTTTTATGTAATTGTAGTAATGTTGTTTTTGTTCTTTCACCAGGTGACAAACTTAATGCGTGAATAATATTGAATCCGTTTTCTTTTTGAAGATAATTATGTGAACAGATATAACCCGATCCATTATTTTCAATTTTACGCAATTGTTTGTACTCTTAAAGTACGTCTTTGTTCGAAGCAAAATATATGAATTATACATATGATTTTTTATAATTGGTGTTTGCATGAAATGGAAAAGTCTGTCCGTTAACAAAATTACTACGTGTAATGTGTCGATTTACGTTGTCTGGAGCCTTCTCTGCACGGATTCAAAGAGCTCTTTTGGCGAAGGCGAAATATCAATTAAAGGATAAGTATACTGCGCGTCAGTTCGTTCTGTTCTACTTTGCGTCTGCGAAACGTGGCCATTAAGAGTTGAAGATACTCGTAAGCTGCTAGTATTCTATCACAGGTGCCTTAGAAATATTGCTCGCATCTGCTGGGATCACCGGGTAAGTAATAGTGATGTTAGACGTGGGGTATTAGGGGATGATGGTAAATCAATTGATGAGGTGTCGCGCATGCCTGAACACCGATTACTACGACATGCAATGCTAACCGGTGCTGGGGATGGTTGGAAGAAACTTAAGTGTGGCCAAACCAAAACGTAGCATCAATCCTTGAAGTCACTAACTTTTGGTCTTAGATGCGGACTACTTGGTTGGGGTCCGCGTGACTATCGTAACCAATGGATGAAGACTCTAGGTGACATGGCTCAGAATCGATCACAATGGCGTCGATGTACACTCTTTGTCTTCTTTTAAACTATGAGATTAAAATTACTTTATATCTCGCTTTCTGCAAACTAATTCTTTCTTTTTGTATTATATCCTTACACATAATCTTTCTTTTATATATTACTACCATTGAAGTAACTAATATGAATTTGGTGTTCATCTTGCGCTAATGAGGTATGGCAACTTAGACCGATGCATATATGTGCCTGGTCCCACGTTATAGCTGACTGTTTGTAGCCCAAAGCAGAACAAGGCGAACAGACTGATTACTGAAAGTTTACGACTAGTGACCGAACGTTTGTTAATATGTCGAATACTGTTGAAGAACATGGTTCATGGAGGATACATGCAACAATGTTTCGAAAAGAGATTGGCCTTCGTACGAGTTTTGAATAGATATTATATCTGTATACATAGTCAAAAAAAGACTAGAATAACTTCGGTAAAGTAAATGATGGTATTGTCCATACTAATGACTGAATCCGATCAGTCTCCGTTATCCCCGACCGTTGTTGCTACCTTGACGTGGTGGTCGGGCTTGCCTATCGTGATGAAGCAACCGAGCTATACTGGCTGGAACAACCGTTCCTCAAGGTCCTACCATGTCAGACAGGTCGGTTGAAGAGCGGTAAGACTAAAAGCAACAAACCCAAGGTCCGAAGGCGAAGTCGTACTGCTGACTGTACAGAGGTGTGACAGCAGTAAGGTGTTTCCTTCAGACAACCAGCATGACAGCGATGCTGCCTTCCCACAAGGAGGGGTGGGGTTAGAAAAGGTCGACCCTAAAAATGCACACCTCGCCTTATCCCACGGATATCCGTCTCCGGCGGTAAGGTCTCAATAAGTACGGAGCTAACACAAAAATTACCCATAACAAGGTCGTGTGTGATCGACCTCAAGCAGTTGTCCCTTGGGCACTGCGGTCACGCTCTCAGGTCACTAAGACCACCTTTAATCCAAATTCCTTTTCAGGTACCTCCAGAACAACCCTTCCACGGTGTGGGCAACCGGGAAGTGAAAACCACCCTCATACCTCTAACAGCACTCAAGACCACTGTATTCATAATCAACCTTCCTCTTCAATTCCTATTATTCCTCCTACATCGACTTTCAACCCTAAACTTCCTCCTTCGGCTTCCTCCTCAAGTGTTACCATAGCCAACGATTCTAGTGCTCAAAACTCTGTCCCAGTTCTACTGAAACCTCGCTCCAAACTACACATTGGAGCCTTCAACGTACGAACCCTATGTCAAATCGGTCAGCAGGCTTCCTTGGCTAAAACCCTAGAGTCTCTTTCCATTGATGTATGCTGTGTCTCCGAAACACGCATACAGGATTCCAGTGTGGTCATTCACTTGACCTCACCTCGGCAAAACGGAGAGCCAACGAGGTACACCCTTCGTGTATCTGGTGACCCGATGGCCAGTTCTCGTGGACTGGCAGGTGTAGGCATAGCACTAAGCATGAGGGCGGAACAAGCACTGCTAGAGTGGATCCCCGTCAACAGTCGTCTATGTGCTGTTCGGCTGAACGGCTACGTAAGAACTCGGAAGGATAGGAACACACGTCGTTGCCTTTTTGTCGTTTCTGCCTACGCTCCCACTGACTGCAGCTCACATGATGTGAAAGACGAATTTTACAGAAAGCTGTCCGAACTTCTTCAGAAAGCTAAACGCTCAGACATAGTACTCGTAGCAGGTGATTTTAATGCTCAGATAGGCAGTTTAAACCAAACAGAAAGGCATTTAGGTGGATATTTTAGTATTCCGACACAGCGAACAGATAATGGTGATCGTCTGCTGCAGCTATGCTCAGACAATCGTTTATTTTTAGCAAACACAAATTTTAAGCATAAGGAGAGACATCGTCTAACATGGCGACCCCCTACACCAAACCAACGATGGACTCAAATAGACCATATTGCCATCAGTCATCGTTGGAGAGGGTCGGTAGAAGATTGTCGCTCATTCTGGAGTACCTGCTTGGACTCCGACCATGCCCTAATACGGGCACGCATCTGCTTGCGCCTCACTGGACGCAAAAAAGGCCACATTAAAAAGACCCGTTAGAACTGAGTTAAGTAACGAGAAAACCAAAAGTAGGTTCCAGGAACAACTGAGGTCACACTTAGGTAGTTGTGAAGACGAGGCTGACCCAGATGTTGCTTGGAAGGGCATACAATCAGCTGTGGAAACAGCAGTGACATCTATTAGTGACTTAAACCACAGAGTTGTAAGGAACCAGTGGATTTCTTCAAGGTCTGTCACACTGATGGATTCTCGCAAACTCGTCCCATCAGGTTCTGAACATGATGAAGAGCGAAAACAAATCAGATCTAGGTTAAGAAAAAGTCTAAAAAACGACCGTGAGCAGTGGTGGGCATCAAAAGCAAAAGAGATGGAAAAGGCGGCGACTATAGGGAACACAAGACAGCTTTACAGACTAATAAAAGAAACTGGAATTAATAAGTCAAGTGTAAGTGAGATTATATCGGAAAAAGACGATACACTCATCTGCTCCAAGTCCAGGCGTTTAGAACGATGGGCGGAACACTTTAGGGAACAGTTCAGCCACTCTACAACTACCCTCCATTCCCAGACAGTGTGAATGGAACATTGAAGTAGGTCCCCCGACTCTTGCTGAAGTTCAAAAGACTATAGTTAATCTGAAACGAGGAAGGGCAGCTGGTCCAGATGGATTGGCTCCAGAGGTCTTTAAGGATGGTGGTCCAATTTTAGCGATTAGGTTGACTAATATTTTAGCTAAGATCTGGGAATTAGACTTTATCCCATCTGACTGGTCGCAATCACTTATCGTCCCAATATATAAGAAAGGGTCAAAATCATCCTGTGACAACCACAGAGGGATTAGTTTAACAAACATAGTATCTAAAATACTGGCCTCGATAATTATCAAACGCCTAACTAAGACTCGTGAACTACAAACTCGAGAGAACCAAGCTGGCTTTAGACCTGGTCGTGGCTGCATCGACCACATATTCACCATTCGTCAGGTTCTAGAACACAGGCATACCTATCGGCGTCCGACGATGGTGGTATTTCTCGACTTAAAAGCAGCATTTGACTCGGTAGACCGCGAGATTCTGTGGCAGTGTCTGTCTTCGAAAGGCGTACCTCAGAAGTACATAAACCTTGTGAAGGCTCTTTACTCGAACACTACTAGTCGAGTCAGGGCTTATGGCGAACTGTCATCTACTTTTGCAACCTCAAGTGGTGTCCGTCAAGGCTGTCCACTTTCTCCATTTCTGTTTAACTTCATCATAGACCTATTGATGGAAATAACACTCTCGTCGACTGAGTTCTCGGGTATTGATCTCCTACCAGGAGGTCCACTTATCGACTTAGAATACGCAGATGACATAGTCCTGTTTGATGAAGACGCTGACAAAATGCAGAGTCTTCTGGCAGCACTAAGCAACAATGCCAGAATGTTTGGGATGCGCTTCTCTCCCTCTAAATGTAAGTTGTTGCTTCAGGACTGGTCTGGGTCAACACCTGAACTAAGGATAGGGAGTGAAGTAGTTGAACGCGTTGACAACTTCACTTATCTTGGAAGTCTGATCAGCCCAAATGGGTTGGTGTCTGACGAAATCTCAGCACGGATTCGAAAAGCTCGTTTGGCTTTTGCCAACTTACGTCACCTTTGGCGAAGGCGAGATATCCGTCTATCATTAAAAGGACGAGTATACTGCGCGGCAGTTCGTTCTGTTTTACTTTACGGCAGCGAAACATGGCCCTTAAGAGTAGAAGACACCCGTAAGTTACTAGTATTTGACCACAGATGCCTTAGAAATATTGCTCGCATCTGCTGGGATCACCGGGTAAGTAATAGTGAGGTTAGACGCAGGGTATTAGGGAATGATAGTAAATCAGTTGATGAGGTTATGAATCTTCATCGACTGAGATGGTTGGGCCACGTATTACGTATGCCTGAACACCGATTACCACGACGTGCAATGCTAACCGGTGTAGGGGATGGTTGGAAGAAAGTTAGGGGCGGCCAAACCAAAACGTGGCATCAGTGCCTGAAGTCACTAACTTCTAGTCTGAGCCATGTTGGTAGATGCAGACTACTTGGTTGGGGTCCGCGTGACTTTCGTAACCAATGGTTGGAGACTCTGGGTGACATGGCTCAGAATCGATCACAATGGCGTCGGTGTATACACTCCCTGTCTTCCCTTAAACTAAGAGACTAAAATAACTTCATTCTTTCTGTCTACGAACTAATTCTTTCTTCCTATACTATATCCTTATTGCAACCTTTGACCTAACCACTCCTATGAATCCGCTGTTCATCTTGCTGTGCTAATGAGGTATGGCAACCTGGACCGATGCACATATGTGCCTGGTCCTACGTTGTAGCTGACTGACTGACTGAGTCTCCGTTATCTTGTGGGGTTACTTGAATCGGAGAATATATCAAGGTTATATGGATGCTTAGTCGGAAAAC